CATACAGTGACCCTTACAAAACACTATATCGAGTACAAAGGGACTGATACTATAATCGGGAAATTTGATCTGATTTAGCAATGGGTTTTCTTTATTTTTCAAGAGTTATTAGTCCCTCAGCTACAGTTATGTCATGATAAAAACGTTCAGGTTCTTTTACGGCAGCCATTTGGAATGTCTTTGATAGCAGGTTTTATAGTTTAAAGGCATTTAAGCTGACCGATTAGGCACTGGATAAGAAAGCTTAACTAAAGTTGATCACAGATAATGCTTAAGCGAGTCACTTTATTATTTAAATTGATACTTTAGTTAATACGTGCTGACGTCTGTTGTTTAAGAACTATCTTACTTCTCATAGTACAAAATGTCTTGACATTAATGATAGTCGCTAAACAATTAAGAAGTCTTTTGATATAACGGTATGGATTATAACCTATTTTTGATAAATAAGAAGACCAAGACAGTTATTAAGAAAGTCCAAGTAAATTTTGTAAAAATAAAAACTGCCACTCAGCGTTTTCTGCAAAAAAGCTCTTTACGACCGCATAGGAAACGAATAAACAAAAGAATAAAGACGTTCCACTTTCAAATGGCCTTACTCAGGTGTCAATAAAGTTGGTCCTTCGGGCGCGAGCCGATCGTAAACCAAGCCATCGTCAGATCGCTTACCGGGCACCTTGTAGTTTGAGCACCCCTGGTAGTAAACTAAAGGTGATGAACGAAGCATAGAGTTTCATTAGGAGAAATGTCAGTGACTCTTCGTATTCAAGAATGGAAGTACTAACCAAGTCACAAATAAAAATACCAATAAACTGGATTGGTGTTCGTAAAACGAAACCAAAATCTAAATAGAGCTGTGTAATAAGATTAAACTTTATGTGCAACGCAATAAAAGCTGAGTTTCTGTAACGCTCTTCAGTATTAACATAGATAAATTAGTAGACTTAGCGTCGCAGCAAATGGATTACATACGATATACTATTTGGTAAACTCATTAGATCTTCATAAATGAACTGTATTATTGATCTGTAACTATCTAACTTGACACTAGAATTTACTAAGACGGAGTTCTAATATATCTTGGCACTCTCTTTGCATGCCGGCCAGTTTCGTATTATTGCTATCTCTAAACTTTGATTGCTATCCGAGTCTATTTAGAATAGGTTAGCAGCGGTCATCCACATTCTACACGCGGGCTCCATCGAGCAGTATGAAAATTTAGCATTAAACTTCAAACAATAATAATAATCTTTATTGCACTAATTAAACAGGACATTGTAGAGGCAATTTGTTTTAGATTTAGAGATGTACAGTGAACCCCATATATATACTTGCTCCTAATTATTAAACAGCAGTATTCATCGAACTCTCGTTTTATTTACGCCTCTACATGGCGACCCTGCCAGGATGTAGAGGCGAAATAAGTGTAAATAAAACGAGAGTTCGATGAATACTGCTGTTTAATAATTAGGAGCAAGTAACATATTACAAAAAAAAAAAAAACTATTGAAAACAGTACACAAATTGCGGCCTTATTGCTTAGCAGCAATTTTTCCAAGCAATCAATGGTAGTATAGAAAAATAAATAAATAAAGAGTAAAAAGAGGGGGGATTGAGTGCAATACCGATGGGATATTAAACATATACATCTAAAGAAAGAGAAATAACGTATAATAATAACTGGAGAAAAAAAATCCTATTAATATTATAAATGTGAAAGTTTCTTTGTTTGAATGTTTGTGCGTCAATTACGCCGAAATTACTGAACGGATTTTGATAACATTTGGTATTACAGATAGGGTATTAGCTGTCTTAGATAAAAGGATACTTTTAATCCCATTAAACATTTCCCTAGAGACCACGTGGGCGAAGCCGCTGGCGAAAGCTAGTAAATAATACAAGTTTTAAAAGCAATTGTGTTTGTGCAAATGTTATTTTGGTACTAATCGATGGACAGTTTCGCAAACGGTTAAGCGAATTGTATGCGGCCTATGTTTTGTTTCCTCAACAAATTAATTTGAGATTTCCATGAAAAACGTTGATCAAGGATTATATATTAGGTTTTTGACAGTACTTGAGTATTGAATAATAGAGCCATGGAAGCACTTGCCGAAGATCGATCCTCGAAACGAAGTGAGGACTACCAATGATTATAGTTTGTATCTTAAAACGGTTAACAGCCAGGCCAAAAGATTTCAAATACATCGTCAGAGGTAATCTTCTACGATATTTTCTAAATAAATATTGGTAAGAGTAATAAGATTGAACTGTACTTTGATATGTCAGTCAGTTTCAACGTTTATATCATGTTACATTTCCTTTGAGAACGTTCATTCGTCAACACTCATATTATTATTCCAGGGGGGTTATTTAAAACGTTTGTTTGATATGTAAATACGTCGCGGTGATAAAACAAGGTCTCATTAGCAGCCCCGCCCGGGGGCGGGCAGGGGGCGTGGGAGGGCAGTACGTTCGCCCGTCACACCCACCTGACAGCCACTGTGGATAAATTCTTTTTTAAATATACCTACTTAAGAATGAAATTCGAAAAGGTTTGTATACAATAGAATCAAAATTGTGATAGGTTCTAATTTGAAATGTCACTCGCAAACTAAGGAGGTTAAGATGATGTATTGTTTCTGAAAACGCCACGGTTCGATTTTAATAATTCTTACGACAATAATGACAGCAAGCAGCACAGACTTCCATTAAAACTGGCATTAATTCAAAGCGATATTACGACACAAATTATCATTTTTAGAACATTCATTAAAGTTAAAACTCGTAGTTAAACATAATGAACGTTTGTGCAATTGGGTGTATGTCTCACAGATTGAATAGTAATCAATAGCGAACATGATAAATGCCGATACCATTTATCAGAATAAAAAAGAAATTATTGAAGTGAAATTATAGTGGATGAAATATGACTTAGTCTCTGGAACTCTGAGATAAGACTCGAACCCATGACCTTTGGCAACTGCTCTACCCACTGAGCTACCCAGGACCGAACAGAACTGACGAAATATTTAAGCACTTATTTTTTCTATTACAGAGAGTTTTTCATTTACTACTACAGAGAGTATATCAGTCAATCTACCCAAACAGCTGGAATAAATATTATATATCAGAGTAGCAGGGACAGAGTGGGTTTTTAAGTATTTTTCATTAAGAAAATTTTTCAGAAAACATGTTTAGGTTTGCCAAAATATTTCTCTTTTTTAATATAAATTTACAATTACCTTCCGAATATAGTGAAAATTTTTACAGAAAATAGAAGCAGAAAGAAATCGGATTATTTAATTTAATAGCTCGTGTGTTATTAACAGAGGTCGGAATTAGGTAGAGTTATTTATGTACTTGCATCGAAATATTGATATTAATGGACCTTCTCGGGATTTCTAATGGACAATCTTGGACATCTTTGGACATCCGAAGTCATTGATGTAAGTTTGGTAACGTCGTGCGTGCAGTAGTTTAAATTGTGTAAAAGTAAATAACTTTTTATTTAAAAAATCACGGAATTTATTCTGCTCTTTAAAATTAATCTCGGGATTCGAGACATATCCACTTTATTCTTTCGCTGTATGAAATCAGTGTAAGTACATGAATAACTCTACCTAATTCCGACCACTGGTTATTAAGTACTGTAACGCCATAACTTTTGGTGGATTAATAAAATAATTAATATGAAAGTTTAAGTGTTTAATAACAAAGGTCAAATCCTTAATCTATAAACGTAAGCGCTTAATTTCTGTCGATATAAATAATAAAAGTTCCTCATAAAATATCAAGACAATGAAAAGAAATTACCAATTATAAATTTAACATTGCTACAATAGTACAGATGTTAAGTTATTACAAAGGATCTAATTTCTATAACATATTTTAAGTCTTAAAAATTTGTTAGTTGAGTTCCAAATTTATTACAAAATTAGGCCTTTTGTAGACATCTGCTGTACTGTGTGAACAAATTAAGTTATCCAATTTTATCAGATTTCTCTCATTGATTATTATATTATCTGAACCTTGATTTGTAACGTTTAAATTCTGAAACGGTTGATTGACGGTCAGTTGCACAAAGCCCCATTAAGATTTAATGACGCCTTCAAGCTCTTATGAATGTCAAATTTGTATCGTTAATGTCGCTTATATCGATGTATCGTTAATATCGATAAATTAAACTAATGACAATTTTAATGTGCAACTGGTTGTAATCATTAAAATTTCGTAGTATTTTTTTATAAAAGGAATTTAATTATAGAGCATTTCGAAAAGTATTATACCAAAAAAGTATTATTTAAAAATGTAATACTTTAATTGTCATCACTTTATGTATTAGTTTAATACTAGTGGTCGCCCAGCGGTCGAAATTCGACCAAAATAAATTTCAATTAAAAGTTATTTAAAATTTTTTTAGCCTTCGCAATCAAAAATACAAAAGATTTTGAGCCAGCAATAACAGATTTATATATTTTTTACCTGTATGATGAAATTTTTTATTCTGATTACTGCTATAGAACTTTTGTTAAATATAGAATGATAGCACATTTGTATATTGCATTGCATTGTACTTATCACTCAAAATCAGTTATTTTTCCTGTAAGTATATGAAATTTATGAAGCCAATATTCAAAAGAAACAAACAAACTCTATGTAAAAAGAAACAATATGACCACAGATTACATGTATGCTTGTAGCAAATACTTGTTTGTGTGTGTCAAATGCAAAGTAGTGTATGATGTTTTAAATATCAAATAAATGTACTTTATAAGCATTATTATTAAAAATATTATCCGTTTGCACTTCTCCTAGATATAAATTATAAGTGTGCCAATTTCATACTCCTCCGTCCTCGCAGTTTTCGTAAAAGGGGTCTTTTTAGTTCACGTTTTTGCTTTACGTATTAATATATAGATTACCGAATAATGTCAACTTCTTTTCACCTAAAATTTTATATAAAATTTCAACATAAACTTAACAATATCTTTCTTCCACAGTATTCTAGAGCTACGGAAAGAGAAGAGTAGAGATGCAGCTCGATCTAGAAGAGGGAAAGAGAACTACGAGTTCTACGAGTTGGCAAAAATGCTGCCACTACCGGCCGCCATCACCTCCCAGTTGGATAAGGCTTCCATCATCAGACTGACCATCAGCTACCTCAAGTTAAGAGATTTTTCCGGACACGGTGACCCACCATGGAGTCGAGACCCACCGCCGACTAGCAAAGCATTGAAAGGTATGTTTTTATTATTATCAAATGGTATCCATGTTCACTTGAAAGTTCCAAGCTGGTTTCGCCATCTATTAGGTTCCGGGTTCAATAATCGGTCGGGTCAATTTTTGAAACGGATTGTCTATATTGTCTCTAGTCTGAGTGTTGTGGCACCTTCGTTGTCTCAGATACTCCAAAATACGTGGACTTTAGTTACTTTTTTTAGGCTCTGAGCAATTTATGTGATGTTGTCTAATATTTATTTATTTAAATACTTTTGAACTTGCCAGCTGCCTCGTCATCGACAGCTCATTAATGTCCCCGCAACTGGGACACATGTCTTTTGTATGGATAGAATCAAACAGGAAAAATATATTTGATTTATAATTCACCACACAGGTACAGTGCGGATTGGATGTCAATGACTGTAGCTGCTACGCCATGTACTATCAAAAACAAGGATTTCGAGACCATACATTTTTGGTCACCCATCCTATGATTAAACTCTGCAAAAGTTGCTTAGCTTGCACAATCACAGGTTTAATGTGTTATATACTACACCATTAATTTCTTCGTCCATTAAAAACTCTGCTCAGGATAAATCTATGCCTAGTGCATCATTACATAAAGACAAAACCTTTTTTTTTTTAAATCTGTGTGTTTGTGATTACGATATTTCTTTAAACTAATTTAGTCTCAAATTAATATCAATTCGTAAGACAAATATTTAACGAAAGATTATATTTACATCGACGTAATAATTGAAAATGTCATCAGTACTAAATAAACACAATTATTAACATACCGAATGCCTTCACAGTAACACCCGCAAACTATGCAAAATGAGTGACTTGGTTTAAAATAACGGTGAGGGTTGGACAATTTGATTTTCCTTCGTCAATTCATTGTGTACCATAACATTGTTATCACACCCTCCATTGGTACAAGTGCGGACTGACAGACTCAAATAAGAGCCTTATTTTAGTATTTAGATATTGAGTTTCAATAGCGTAGTTTATTATAATTAGAAAGAAGGCAATAAGGAAAGAGTTGGAACATCTTTAATAGTAGAAAAGCTTGCATGCTAATTTCGTTGAAATTGGAAGCTTGGAACAGGTTTGATTATCGTCCAAGTTTATTTCGAAATAGTTTGTATTTCGTAGATAAACAAACTGTTTCGAAAGAAAAGAAACAATTTTAATAAAAAAACGACAATAAATAATCAAAGAAACAATTCGAACATCTAAAATAATCACAAAATAATGATGCCAAAATATGAGACCATAAAATTATTACGGAAACATAAAACAGTGGTACGAACAGTCCACATTTCGGGCATAAAAAATGTGGAAACAAATCAAAATACTGTCTAGCGAAGCGTGCACGCAAATAAAATGCGCCCCGGGGACCACGATCCACTGCAATACGTCAAACAAATATTACCAATTGGGAAACAGGAACGTTTGTCTTAACGGGCAAACATTACACATGTTCCTCATTATTAGATATGGAAATCTCATACTTTGTATTCCTTAGATAACTTTTGTATATATTTTGTTGAGACTTAATAAATAAACTTAATAAACTTTTAATAAACCTACTGCTTTTTATACACTAACGGCATTACTAATAATCAATATTTAAGCGTTGTGGTGGACAGTATTTAGTATTATCTTGAATTGAATGTCACATTAGAACGACGGGAAAAGGTCTGTCTGCATCTGAATGACGATTATATGTTTCTTATTAAGAAACTTGGCTCAGATTACAGATAGAAGAATTTCTATGTATTTTGAACGGGTATAAAACAAAGATCATAAATACATTACTGAAGAAAGAAGATTTCAATTAGACTAATAACATCTAAGAATAGAAAATGTATAGTTTTGAAAACGGGAGACTCAAATATCTTATCAAAAATATGGTCACAAAAGTCAAAACCTTTTTCTATTAAAAAAGTTTGCCAGTTGAGAAAATATTATTCGTTAATCAGTTCAATTTGACTTATATAAAAACTCATCACGACGTCCAATTTTAGACCAAGCTATTGTAACTGCGCCCGTTTTGAAAGGCTAAATTCGTATTATTTGAAATATTATGACCGGTTGATACTATTGTTGACATTTTTTCAGTCCGGAACTAACTGGTTATACCTAGTTCATTTTTTTTTTGTGTCTACTAAATTCTACTTTTGAATCGTACTGTAGTGTGAATATTATAGTGCAAATAAATGAAGTATTACAAGCAGCGGCGTTGCTGTTTAGACAAAAATAAAAAAAAATTGGGATCAGTTTTTTGTATACTAATATTATAAAGAAGAAATATTTTTGTCCGATTTTATAAATTCTTTCACCTATGGTAGACATCATACGCAGGTCACATATAGCCTATAATAAATAGAAAACTGATTTAGCTGATTTACATTTTTAATCCGAAGTAACTGTTGTAGTTGTATTTGTACAGAAACTCATTAAAGTAACAATGCTTTTCATCATTAAGATCGATAGGGTTGGTTATTTTAAATATTCTTGGCTTTTGTGTCAGTGACCTAGTTGGTTAAGGTAATATCAACCGATGAATCTTTGGTGATTTCGTAAAAGTTGCATCAATGTTTTGTTTGCGCCACAATATTGTTTTTTTTGTAATCGCTACTAAAAGCAACGCCATTTTCTTTTCATTGAAATTGTATTATTAATCCGACTGTTACTGTGAAACCGAGTTGCTTATACACGTATGTAGAATGATTAGACGTTGACATGTTTTAAAGAAATATTTTTTTCTATTTGTCATATGCGTCTACATTAATCCAAGCTTTTTTAACATACACAATACCTAAATTCGTAACAAGTGTACCAATAAAACACCCCAGCACAAATCCAATTTTAGACCCCTAATGCGTTTAATGCGACCACGGGGCGAATCACTACGTATGCCACTGTCATTTTAACTCAATTTTCAAACGGGCCTCCGCGCCTACGTATGCATTCAAATAAAAATATTCGAGACTATAAGACACAGCTTTTGGGGTGTTAAAAGTGTCTATGGGGGCTAAATTTGGTGTTTCCAATATACTCACGTAAGCAATAAGGATTTAGTGGGGAATTTCTGCAATATGTACATCAATATCATAAAAAAGTGACTGTTTAAATTCGCTCACTGATTTATGCGTTGTGGTTTGAGAATTCTTTGTCTACAGAACGCCATTTGCATTTTTATTTGAACACACCGTCGCTCGACAGTCACCGTCTTTTCGCGTCTTTGACATCATACTAATTTGTAAAAGACACCGTTCGAAAAAAAACTAATTAATTCAGTAAGATCGGCACCCCACTGTGTAACAATACGCCGCGAATTGGCCCAAAATTTTTAATCTAATCAATTAACAATCAGTGCAAGCGATATACCGCTTGTTAGTACTGCTTATTTGACGAACGTGACTTGGTTAGCTATTCAAATTTGTAGTGGGGTTGGGTGACGATTTTGTCTGTACTGTTTAATTGTCTAAACCACTGTGCTGATAACTTAGATGTCACGGTGGAGTACCTCGATGTGACTGAGCAGCAATCGAACTTTATGTTGATTTATTCATAACTGGAAATCGGTACTTTATTTGCTTTAGTTTAGTTTAGGTTCATCATATAACAATTTTTATCGGGGATCTTGAAGAACTTTGACAAGCTGCGGGTGCGCATGGTCGTATTTATTTGTAGTAAATGTTTGTGTGACTCATGGATGTATATCTACTTGTACATTTATGTTAATTTGTTGATAGACGATGTTGATATAGACTTTTTGTGCCAATAAATATTTTTTTTTTTTTTTTAATTTAAAAAATTCTTAGTATTCAATTGGAAGTGTGATTTAATATTTTTGCGTATAAAATTTCTATTCAAAATATGAGAACATATATGTATATTAGCATTCAATAATATATAAGACAATGTTTTGTCTCGTTTTAAATAAATTATGAGCAATAATACTGACTTGAAAACATTTTAATATCATTAAATAAATTTTAACGCTCTCAAAATGTATTTTTTTATTTTGGTATTAAGATTAATTGATTATATTGTGCCATGAAAAATATTTGTAACAAAAGACTGACGTGAAATTGTTGTAATGGCACGATATGTGTGAGTAATCATCAGTTATTGGTAAATACATTTTTATACCGAGAAACGCAATGTTTATAATAAACTTTTACGCCTCTGAAATTAGTTGTAGAATGCATTCTTTTTTTTCTAGGAAATTACTTGACACTGTTCTAAATAAAACAATTCAGTCAACCGTAACTAATAATATCCATTCACCAGCTAAAGTACTGCATCATCGCAATAGTTTTTTAGTGCTTAAAAATGCTATATCTTAATTAAATTACTGTAAACGCTGCTATTATAGAAAGACCACTACCACGAGTGTTCTGTGGGACATTTCTAATTTAAAAATAATAAGAGGGGTAACCTCTGAAATGGGGATTTTATTTAGCGAAGCCACAATATGACTTGTTTCTTTCATTTTTGTTATCATTTATGGCATTCTTTTGGCAGCTTCTTCATTTAAAATTATATTTTATCCCTTTTTAGTAAGCAGGTAATTCTATATGTTATATATTTTCGGAATGAACTCATAAAGACATTAAATTTGATACCCATTTAACTTTAATTAAAGAAAAAATGTTTTTTATTTTTTTATGACGTCATACATCCGCCATATTACTTTTTAAATTATAACTATAGCCAGTGTCACACGGAAGTAGGTATTTAACGTTTCTAATGTCACCATATATATTTAAATCTATAGCGCTGTGTTCGACGGCGAATTCGAGGCTGTTTCTAAAAGAATACCATAGCTGATGTAACATTAGACCAAGTGACGTTTACTAATGAAATTGCCTAGTAGCTAATAGCGGACTACGTAATCGAAAGTGCTGCCGCGCTAATGTTAGTTTAACAGGCGTAGTTATTATAATTTTATGGTTACAACAAACTTGCTTCGTTTTCAGAATCAATCGGTTATACTGGCAC